TGATCTTAAATCAAAGTTCTCACCAGCTTTCCAGCCAGACAACAGTTGTTTCCAACCTGGGCAAGGAAAAAAGAAAGATGTAAAGAGTTACTTTAAACATTGAAACGTGGATAAATATGGTCTATACATATACCTTTCAAAACTCAATTCTAACTCACCTGAATTTCTTTTTCTAGTAGAAATTCTTGGAAAACGAGCTGGAAAGAGGTCTTTCTTCACCCCTAGTGCTAAAGTGTTGAGAGCCTTGGAGAAAGGAGAAGAAGCAGTGGAAAGTTAAAAAAGAGGAGGGACAAAAAGAAGGGATAGGTGGGTGTTTTATTATTACTAGAAATAATCTGTTTACGTGTAGGAGATTTGTAAACCTTTTTACAGAAAAGATTGCCAGGTTTTAATCACTAAGGAATAAAAAGTGTTTAGTTGCTTGCATGAGATTAAACATCAAATCCAGGGTTAAACTGGGAGCTGTGATTCTGTAACTGCCCCCACGCATAATTTCTGCTAGAATTATATCCTGGAGTGCTTTATCCTGATACTTCTGCTTGACATAAGTTTGGGTGCTTCAAATTTAAAGTCAACCCCCCCAAAAAAACCAACACAACAACCTTTGGAGGATCTGTTACCACTCTCATTCTGATCAAAATATGATTTTCAACTGGTGAGGTCCTGTTAGAGTGAGAAGTGGCTGTGGATTTATATGACAATACGTGATATAAGTGATGGCCCTGATATTCCAGATATCACTTAATATGTGCTGAGGGGCCAACATCAAGTCCTAAAAGTCTCCCTGATAACCCACCTGGCTTGGTCGCAGCCCTCCTGAGAGGATGGCATGGAAACTTGCACAGTCATGCTGCAAAAGCTCTTGAGGTCTAGTGGCTCAGGTAGTTTGTAGTCCTTTGCAGGTGTTCCTACTTTGACAGGTCAGGAACAAAAGCTATATACCCTTCTCTGTGTGCACCAGCTTGCAAAAACTCTTCTTCTGATGAGTCCAGGAGAAATGGAAGGGATTGTGAAGGTGGCACAGTCAGACCCTGCAGAAACCCATGATGTGGTTGGGCAAAAGAACCTTCAGGCAACCTGTTTCCTGGAAGGCATTGTTAACTGCTTTTCCCTGGAGCAGCACTGACTGCCTGGCTGGATTTATCTCTCAGAAGGGTGCATGTGCTGGAAGAACAAGAGGCCAAGCAGTGGTAAATGTTGCCCTGATGAGCCTGACTGCCACTTCAGCTGTATAAGGGTCTAGACTGTTGGCTGCTTTATCACAGGTGATCTTCCTCTTTGTGCTGCCTGTGCTGGTTGCCTGACTTGCCTGGATCTGAGCCTTGCTCTTTGAGAAAAGAGCAGGTGTTAGCAGGGGATCTGGCTTGGAAGCAAGATACCTTCAAAGACAAGCTCTGCTCTTCCCTGCTTTTTATGTTAGCAGGAGGAGCTGTGGGGGCTCAAAGGACATGAGCCTGAGCCAGGTTTGTAATGTTTTATGCACTATTTGTTGTGCTTGCTTAGTTATCCATGGTTGCACAACATGGCTTGGTAGTGCTGAATGTCCTCTCCCAAGAATTCAGTATGGGTGGCAGGGCTTCTTTGGCACTTCCTACCATTAAGGAAAAGTCCCTGTACTGACCTTCTGATCAGTTAGCTCTCTAGATTAGCTTCAGGCACACTGCTCATCTACACTGCCCTTTTTGCAGGAAAAAAGATTCCTTTTTTTTCACTCTTTGCTCTGTGCTGTGAGTTAAAAATGTAGGGTTGGTACATGTCATATTTCAAGGCAATTTAAACATTTTTTGAGCAATAAAACAATTACACCTGGCTTCTTTAAACAACTGGAGTATTCAAAGCATTAGAAAAATAGCTTACACTTGTATTTACTGCAGCATGTCAAATTCTATTGTAATACATACTGGCATTTTTTTTAAGCTAATAAGTATTAGCAGAATCAGCATCCTTGAATAGCAGCTTCAGCTGATATCAGAATTGAATGAAAGTGTTCAATTTGAGAACTAATTACTTCAATCCCTAATCCACACATTTTGAAAAAGATTCTCTACCACAGTGAGAGTTTGACACTTAATCCTCTCAGCCTAGTGGTTTCATTCCTCTAGATGCAGAGATGCTACTGAAACGTGCATAAGCAAAAGAAAGTTAAAAGCTTAGTCTAAAATAAAATGAGTTTTTAAAAGGCTTTCTCTCCTAAGTATTTTCTTACCTATGTTAAAGATGCATATTCCCATCCCTTCCAAATGGCCAGTAAATGTTTTGGTTGCAAACATCATCTGTTTATTAAGTTCCAAAGTATTGCATAGATAAAATCTGGAGGATACTTTCAATTCAATGTTAAATACAGGACTTACAGAATATAACAATACTTTAAAAGATACATTTCAGTAAGTTTTACTACAGTTTTACTACAGTTTTATGGATTTTCTGACTTCTTACCTGATGAAAAATTCAAGTCAGATCCACACTGCCTTTAACAATTTTTCTTTTCCCTTTCTGAGTTAGTTACAAAGCCAGCAAACACATCTCCTTTGTGTATAAAACAATCCAAAGCAAAGGCAGCTGCTGCTAAAGCAAAACTTAAACTCTCCTTTCTTCTCTTTCTGAAACAAAGCAGAGTTTCACAGTTTCTGACTGTGACTGAATCCACGTCTGTAGAAAGGCTGCTGAGGAATAAAACAAGCTCTGGAATCTAAGAAGAGGTGAACAGCAATGAGCAGGGAGGAGAAAGGACCAGTAGTCATGGGGATGGTTTTTCCTTCACTGTGCAGCTTCTCTCCGCCCTGTCAAACACCTTATCTTGCAATTTCATTTTCAATTATGTTATCTGCTCTGTAGTGTAAATGTTTTCCCTATGTTGGATTTCATACATAAACATCTGCAGATGGGTGATTGCTTTTTTAACTGAGGGAGATATGCAAATACAGTAAGCTGCTTGGAAAGAACATGCACACCCTATTAAGTGAATACTTTGCTCTATTGTAATTAAGATCATTGTATTTTCATTATATATTGCTATTTTAACTTTTACCCCAGAGATATAAAAACACTCCTGAAAAGCAAAGCCTGGCACACTACAGTAGCACATGTTGAAAAGGAGTTGTTCATATTATTACTGTTCTTCCAGTAAAAGTCCCTACCTTTTAGAGTTGCTAGTTTGTAAAAATTAGCATTCAGTGTTTCCCAATTAAATATTTAGAGTGGATTTTTATGGGACAGGAAAGGAACTGGACTTTGTCAGGGTGTGCTATTTGGTACATTGCTTTTTAAACTCCTGAATTTGTACCTGGGTCTAGTTAAACCCAGTGCCCTTATGGACCCATCCCCTGGCTCTCCAGTACTTGAAAAAGCAGATACAATAGGAAATGGTCCAGAGTTTGTCTGTGTTTGTGTGGGAACAGACCAGGAAAACGAGGTGAGAATTCCCTGGTAAGTTAGAGAAGCAGAAATTTGCAGAAAAAAAAATTGGGCAAGTACTGGAGTCTGTCTTACTGCACCTGTGTTTTTGAAGAGAATGATTGTGAAAAGCAGTAGGATTTTGGGTTGAGCAAGACTGATTCTGTACCCAGAGTGCAGCTTAGAGCTAATTATCTGAACACAGTATTTGTGTCATGCTGTTGTGTTTGTAGAAAATAGGGGTGGAGGGAGCCTGGGGGATCAGCCAGACAAACCTCCTGCTTCTAGTGTAAGTCCGTCTTTTCATGATGTGTTTGTTTAACCTCTTCTTTAAACATCCTAGATAATCCTGGTGATTCCAGATAAGGTAATTAAGTACCTAATTTACTGTTAGGAAGACTTAATGCCTTCTTATAAAAATGTCCTTTAATTTAGCCCATTGCCTTGTATTCTAAGAATCACCTGTGAATTCTGAAATTTTAAGTAAAATGCTACCATCAAGCAGTGTGAATATACTGTTCTCAAATATTTCTAGCACTTGCTGGTTCTGATTATGTCACAGCTACTGTAGAAAAAAAGCTTTTGCACAGTACTTCAGAACTTCTGGTTGTAGTGTAACCCAGCAAGTGAATCAAGACCTACAAATGAAACCTGCTAGATGTGCATCAG